GGGAAACTAAGTGTTATGTTATTCCCTATTTTATTTGTATGAATTACAATTTTAAAAGGAAACCATGTACATGGGAAGCAATTTCGGAGGATAAAATGCACAGAACTAAAAGGAAGTTTTCTCCCACCCCAGCCTTCTGGAGTCCCTAAGCAGAAGCAGCCACATTAAGTTTCATGTGTATCTTCTACATTTTTATAGTGTATAGAATTATACATGTGAGTTCAGAGCTTGGGGGCAATAGTGTGTTTCACATGAGGGAAGCCTATTACACATAGTCCATGTCCCTGGGGTGAATTACTTTTTAGCCTCATTAAGCGTTCTTGGAAAATTCACTAGCTGCCTGTAGCTCTGTGAAACAATATAAATTTTCTGGCAATATTCCCTGGGTTGCTTCTCAACTGATGATTTGTACATGGCTGTCCAGGCCGTTTGCCTTTTTCTTTTTCGCACCTCTTCACTTGCAAGGTCCAAAAACAAAGGAAAAACCTTTACCGAATTAGCCCCCAAAGGATTCGGGAGAAAATCATAGTTGAGTAGAGCATACTGTAGAACTGTTTTACCCTTTCTCAAAACGTTTTTACTCATATACTATGGGTTTTACAGAGCTCACCATCACTTGAAATTAATTTACTATAGTGGAATATCGGCAAAATGGGGGAAGTTGGTGCTGTGATAATAAACTCTTCCCTCCCTCTAATCACTGCTGTTACAGTGTATAGGCTTCCTCTCCAGCCACAAGCAATTTAACTAGTTGGGCTGTAACATTTGTTTCACTTCTTAAGCCTTGTTTTAACTCTTAACAGCCCAAGATGTTACTTCCCTTTAAAGATTCTCTCAATCACACAACCTTTACATGTGATTTAACTGTGATTTTAGAGCTGTGATTTTAACCCAGACACAGCTAACTCCAGAAGTCATGCATTTGCTCACTACACTCGCTCTTTTCATTGGCTTTCTGGAGATCTCTTCATCCTTTGTCTTCTTGTCTGTTACCCCCAAGAACTGCGTTCAGTTCCCTCCACCCTGTTTGCTCTCCGGTGCTCTACCTGGAACACTTTGCCCTGGCACTCCCTTGAGTACTTTCAGAACTGAATTCCAGTTCATGGTATTGCCACATTCTAACAGTGCTGATTGCCAACACCTGAACGTTTTAAAATTCCAATCTGAAAAGTAAAACTGTTTATGCATTTTGGTGACTATCAAAGGTTTTTTGTTTTGATATAGTTCAGCAGTTTTCAGCCTGTGGGTCGGGACCTCTTTGGGGGTGTCCTTCATATCAGGTATTTACATTATGATTCATAACAGTAGCAAAATTAAGTTATGAAGTAGCAACGAAAATAATTTTATGGTTGGAGGTCACCACAACATGAGGAACTGTATTAAAGGGTCCCGGCATTAGGAAGGTTGAGAACCACTGATATAGTTCATTTCTACTACTTAGGAGCATTTGAAAATGTGATTTTGTTCTTTGGAGAGCTAGTTGACAGGTGCTTAGGCATTTTAAGATAACTACTTCAGTTTGATGAGGGTGCCCTGTGCGGCGATGAGGGGTGGCAGTTTGAGAACAAGGGAAGCGACAGTCCAGATGGGGCGAGGGGTGGCCCGCAGCCTCGGGCTCGTACGTCACTGGGGCGCGCCTCTTCCGGTCCCCAGAGCTATCGAAAAAGACTTCTCTTTGGTGGGAGTCAGCCTGCCTCCTGCAATCCCCCAGAGCCCACAGTCACACTGAGCCATCCGGCGATTCCGCCACCGTCCTCCCTCACTCCCGCGACCATGGCCACTGACTCATGGGCCCTGGCAGTGGACCAGCAGGAAGCAGCGGCCGAGTCGGTGAGTTGGCTTCCGCTGTAAAAGGGTCAGGGGACCAGCGACTTGGTCCCTGGGAAAAGACACTCCTGAGATTGGTCAGGGTCGGGATGAGGAGAAATGGGGAGGACCGAGAGGGTCCCGGCACCAGGACCCTGAGCTGGCTTTTTTTATCCATCCGCCTGCTGCATTACATAGGGGCTAGTGAGTGCTCCTACCGGTAAAGCGCGCAGCCCCCTGCCTGCCTTCTTGCAAACAGGAGTGATCGCAGATCGCACTTGTCACTCTGTACTGTAATCACGTTTTTAGGTGCCATCCTCCACCTCCGCATTCTGAGCTGCTTGGGCGCAGGGAACATGCCTTTATTCGTGTTTGTTTGCCTTCTTGGCTTTCTCAGGGATGATGGACCCAGTAGGTCTGGCAGTCAGTAAATTCTCTTCTGATCTGCTTAACTTTGTTCTTTTTTTCTGGGCATGACACATGGTAAGCAAGACATGTTAAACGTTACTATGTAGGGTTAATTTCTCCCACATAAACGCTTAAGTTGTGGTAGGGCTTTGGACCTACTTCTGTTAGTACTTATTTCTGTGAATTCCTTGAGAATGAGGACATTGTCTTATTTTTTTTTAATGTGATTTTTAAAAGTAATTTATACACATAGTCAAATAGTGTCCCTGGCATAGTTCAAAACAGTTGTGCCTGACAATTTTTTTCCTCCCCAGAGGCAACTACTTTTTCTCTTAAAACTAATTGTAGGTGGCTCGGTGCCTGTGGCTCAAGCAGCTAAGGCGCCAGCCACATACACCTAAGGTGGCGGGTTTGAATCCCCAGCCCGGGCCC